GCCAGGTCATCATTAAATCCTTTTGTTGAATTAGAATCTAGAGTCAGACTCTGAGCAGACATGAATAATGCTCATGTTCATTTTCCCTTCCTAGTTAGTATTCATGAATCACTGGGATTTTTTTCTGTGTGTCTCTCTCTCCTCTTCTTTGCATTTATCTCAGTAGTGGTATCATTTGATTGCTGCTTGATTCTAATTCAATTTGGCACCTCTTCATGGAGCACTGTGTTGCCTCGCAATACTATACATTAAACTGTGTTGAGCCCTGAAGGCTCTACCACCAATGAGATTTCAGCTTTTACTGCTTTGTGCAGCTCATTTGTTCTTGGGTCAAGTGCAGCCTAGATAGAGATACCAGTTCAGACACACACTGGTAATGACAGGATGTGAAAAAATATCTTTTTCTTCTCTTCTGTACGACTCTGGTGGACTCTGATATATTTTCTCTTCAATTATTGAGTAGGAGTGCATGAACTGGGAGAAAAGTCTCATCAAAATCCATATGTTCTACTGGGGTAGTTACTTAATTCCATACTTTTACTTTTCAACAACTTTAGGTTTAAAATAGGAGAATCACCTGACATACAAAAACATCATCTGTTTTGAAACCTAAAAGTTCCTGATTATTATTTGTGCATGATCCTGAATTAAGACACGGCTTAGAAGTTGTGTGTGTGTGTGTGTGTGTGTGTGTGTGTGTACAAATTCTAAACTTGAAGTCCAAATCCTCAATTCCAAAACACAAAAGAGAGCTTCTTAGTGCAATGCAGGGATCTGAGCACACGCAAAATACAGCTTACAGGAACACGGGCTTCAATGTGCTTTCCCTACCATTTCCTGCCACTCAGAAGTATTTTCCTTCAAGCAATTATTGAGTCAAGGAGATACTTGCAGGTGGAGCTTATTATTATTATACATAATTCCTGTTTGCTCCCAGATTAGTCAGACTCTAGAACAGAAACCCCCTGGAAAAACAGCAAACCATCCCCTGAGACCAGGTAAAAGAGGGAAGACCAGAGAGATTACAGTTCTGGGCCAGCCCTAACAGCAACAATGTGCCTGCCTCATCCCCCAGATGGGACTGCATCTCCACCAAGGCATGAAAAGGATGTTCTATTTCCTTGCATTGGAAAGGGAGAAAGAGTTACAGATTTCTTTGCCTCAAAGCGATCTTCTGGAGAAAGGAATTGCTCCCTTCACATCAGTATTTCACCAGAACCAAGACTTTAATGGAAAAATAAAAGGAAATGAATTCTGTTCTCCCAATTGCTCAGCAGGCAGTTATTCCCAGACTTTCTTTTTCCCCTAATGACACTTAAATGAACCTTAAAATGTGGGTTTTTCTAAGAAGAAACTTTGTGGTTTAAGAATGCTTTGTCTAAAACGTGACCTACTATAGATCCAATGTTCTTTCTATGTGAAAATGATCCTGTCAATTTTTGTCATATGTCCATCATCGTAAGTGAATTTTTGTTGTCATTGTTGTTTTATTTTTATAGAGAATTTATACTGACCTAGACCTTTTCTCCCTATCCATGTGGCATGAAATATCAACAGCAGGCTGGTTTCTATAGCCAAAGAATGGATAGAAACTCACAGTCAATGGAAAGGTCAGACTCACCACTATGTTAAGAAACACTAAGATAACAGTCCATATCCAACTGTATCAGACTACGAGGGTGTCTTATTTATTCATCTGCTAAACAGTTTTAAAGTATAGTCTTTGTTTCCACAGGACAAAAGAGGTTAATCAAAGAATAGGTTGGCTCACACCATTTTAAGATTCAAAAATATAAATAGATTTTGAGATAGATTGTCATGGCAGCAGAAACTATCTCCTTTTAACTTTTGCTTGAGATTATAATGTGTCTATCAAAATTGTTTACTTCATTTGGAAAAGCAGAAATTTAGTACTACTTGTATTGTTCCCTTACATTGTACCCATGGAGTTGAAGAAGTCATAAATCCTAAAACACAAATGATGTTTTCATTTCATTTCCCCCATTGCAAACTAGTAAAAGAATGGAAAGAAAATGATTACAATTAAACACAATTTAGATTTGGAGAAAAAATGATTTGTGTTCAGAAGTCAATGTGTTTATATACATATCTAAAGATTTTAAGTCAAAGAGGGAGGTGAGCCAGTCCATTCCAGTTATAATATTCAAAGACTCTTTGAAGAATACTAAACAGAACCAAGCATGTTATTTAAGATGTATTTCCTAACTATTCCCCTTTATAACTAACAACTCAAAATTCTTCTCTGGCTTACATATCTTTTAAAAACCTTGACCTATTTGAACTGTGTCAATTATGTGGGTAAAATAAGAGCTGAGAACCCCTCCATGAGAAAACAGTTTTTGCAAGTAACTCTGTCCTGCTACCTCCTGAGCTCCTTGAAAATGAAAACCTATGTTTCTTCCAGATGACAGCCACCTTGTCGGTGGAACCGAAATAGCTTTCTCAGCCAGAGAGCTGTCTGTCACTAAGAGTTCTGACAGATATCAGATGTGGCATTCAGGAAGAAGGCAAGAGGTGGTTCTATGGAAGGAGGTTTGGTGGGAGAAACTTGGAGGCAAGACAGGAAGAGCACTGGAAATAGTGCTCTCCTAGAAGCCAGATCAAGCATGAAGAAATCAACAAGCATTTCTGAAAATGACAGATAATCCTTGGAGAGAGGGGAGCCGAAGAGATGGGTGACAAGTCCTTATTTCCACCACTAGTTCTGTGGGACTTTGAAAGGCCATGGCTGGACAGAGAATGCATCAAACTGGAAAGCTTCCATTTGTGAAGAGTCAAATACATTTACATGCATAGAATTTTCTCTCCCTCTAGTGGTGGGGTGGGAGTCTTTGAAGTGAAGCCTGTCATTGCATAATACTGCTTCATAAACAAAGATGTATTTTCATTATACTTCATTTTGCTCACAAAATTAGGACCTTCTTTAGGTGTGCTTCTGTCCTCCATGGTAGTTTTTAAAACATTCATGTGAGGGAGTGAATTGCTTTCTAAGCATGCTGGTTAGTGGCAAGGTAGCAAGAGTCTTATTCTCTCTCTTTGGTTAGAGATATAGGATTCTTTCCTCTTTTGTAGTTCTATCAAAGGTGAAACCATAGGCAATTCTCCTGAATCCTAGGCCAGGCCAGAAAAACCTGAGGAGCTAAAGAAGACAAAGAGGGCAAATTCACCTACAGTAAAGATGGAAAATATGGAAACCTAGAGAAGAGATAAAAATATAAAGGATCTAAAGAGTGACCTGATCCTGATATAAAGGGAATAATCAGAGATAAATTTTGGAACAAGTCTCTGCAATTATGGTCCAGTTGTTGTTATTTCTCCCATTTTCATCCTTAGTTATGTGAAAATACTTCTGGTGTAGCAATTTGGACTCAATGACAGAGGGTAAAAAGTAGAAAATATAAACAAAGTAAATGATCATTTTAAGGAGAGTAAAATTTCCACCTTCAATATGGAAGGATTATATTACATAATACCATAACTGCTCAAGAGTATTAATAGAAATAGACCATAAATTGTAGCTGCCTAATCAATAGGTTATTTACCAAAATCTGAAAACCTATTGATATGAACTACACAGAATCTGCAGCTTTTTTTCCTGCTCTATATGCAGGCATCAATGATGTCTACTTGACTTCTCCTCTTGGATGTCTCCAAGGCAACCAAACTCATGGTTTCACTGCAAACTATTCCTTTTCTGGCTTCCTTAGCTCAGTGAATAACTACATTAAATCATTCAGTTATGCAAGCCAGAAATCCAGGAGTTGCTTGATCTCTCTAGCCTTCCACCATCATATCCAATCCATCATTGAGTTCTTCAATCTAAATCTATCTCAAAAAGTGAATTTCTCTTTGCCTCCACCACTATACTACTTCATCATCTCTTGTAAACAGTACTTTTCCAAACAGCATGCACTCTGTACTTTGTCAAATGCAGTCTCCATACTGCACTACTTCAACAAATGTTTCTGAGGACTCTACTTTGTACTCTGGAAATATTGTGAATAATAGACGAGGTGTAGAAACGGAAGATAAACATCAAATAGTCATAAGCACTATGTGAAGAACTAGATTAGAATAATATACAGAATAGCTGTCTAGACTATGTGTTCAAATACGAAGAATCAGCAAGAGTTCGACAAGTGCAATGAAATTTTGTTTCTAGTGCTGGAGATGGAACCCAGGGCTTTGCATGTGTTAAGCAAGTGTTCTATCACTGAGCTACATTCACAGTCCAGAACATGAATTTTGAAACAAAAAAAAATTAAAAGAAGTCCACTGGGACGATGGCTTTCTAGCATATAATGAGATAGTTTCAGATACTGGCGAAGAACAAAAAGCAGAATAAGTAAAAATATCCACAAAGGTTCAATTTAGGTCTGTCTCCAAGCACCTCTGCTTAAATATAGCGATTACCTACATGAAACTATCTTATTTTTTGTTAATTTTTCTCTGTGTTCCTCTTCCTAAGATGTAAACGCCATAAAATAAGAGCCATAACTGTCTTGCTCGCTGCTGTACCACCACTGCCTAAGAACTGTGCCTGGCATACAGTAGGCATGCAAGTAAGTACTGGTTGCTTTAATGCACCCTTGAAAGCAGAAAATAACTAAGTGTGGTTGAAATTTCTGGGAAGTCTTCGCGGTACTGTCAAGGTCATTTACTTTAAAGATTAACTGTGCTATAAAATCCTGGTCAGGCTTCTCAGCATTGGCTGACAACAAAACTCACACTCACACACACGCTCACAACTACAAACCTCTCCAACTTCCCGCTAGGAGGAGTCACACCTCCCAACCCAGAAACTCTCCAACCCTCTCCTCAGTTTCTCTTTCCCTCCCCCCGCCAAGTTCCGGCAGTCTTTGAGTCGCAAGGATCGCCGGGAATAGTAGTCTTCCGTTTCTCGCCCTCAGAGGTTTAGCGCTTCGCCAGAACTACGCTTCCCAGCGAGTCTTGCGGCAGAGGCGGAGGGCGGGGAGTCCGAGTCACTTGACCAGGGTTGGGGCGCTGCAATGGCGGCGCCCATGCTGCGCTGGGGCTTCCCTAGAAAACGTTGGGCTCTAACGTGGGTTGATGGCGACTCTCGCCATCGAAGAGGGACTCCGACTGGGCTCACGTCCAAATGGATGAGGAGACAGAGTTCAGTGACTCAGCAGCCCCTGCACACGGCTCAGAAGCCGAGCGAAGGGTATAAAATTTTCATACCATTACTGCCCACTTAATTGTGAAGTGAAACTGCGGGACTAGGGAGATGATGGCCACCACAGCCTGGCGTTTAGATGTTTTGGTGGGCGGGACGATGTTTGCTTATAACCGGAACCCTGAAGCTTAAGTGAAAACACCAACAGGCCTTCTATCAGCTCCGCCCCCGCCCCCATCCCCACCGCTGTCTTAAAGTAGGCATCATTTGGGGAATTCGCGAGTGTAGAATAGCAAGTGCTTTCTCGAGTTGGCTGCACAGACCAAAGAGTGAATTCAGTCATCTTTCTAGCAGCATATGGAAAAGGTACCATATTTAGCTGACATTTAGCGCTTCTACGGGCTAGCAGTATTCTAAAGGTAGAAAGGGAGCCTTTATCTACAAGCCCTGGGTAGTGGTGGTTTAATCAGAAGTATCATTACTCCTAGAACAGCAGTTGTCTGTGGAGCTGTTTTATGTTGAACATGTGTGTCTAGACCTAGGAGGATGTAGTCAACTGAAGAAATCTTCCCTCTGGTTATGTAAAGAGTTTTGCTTATCTTGATAGATATTTACTGAACAGCTGTTCATGCTTCAGTGTATAAGATTTAAGTAGTTTCTTTTTAAATACAGAAACATACGTCAGGTTTCTAATTTTTTTTTTCTTTGAGATTGGCATTATTTTTTGCTTTTCAGTTAGAGGAGCAGAGGGAAATGTCCAGTGCATTCAGTTTTTATTCTTTTCATAAATTCCATCATCTCCCTGTGAATGGAAAGTGCATTTTCTCTCACGTGATGAAACTTGTAGCCACTGCCAAAAATACTGTAGGTAATACCTGAGTAGTAATTTCTGATGAATTCTTAGTTTAATTCCTCACACAGACTTTTGTTTTCATGATTTAAAAAGAAGGAATTAATCTTTTTTGCATTAGATATAAAACTTTGTGATTTGGAATGGTTGAAGCAAAACCTAATACATGTGAACAAAAACACAGAAAATTGCTTGGGAGACAAGCAGGATAGGAACATGCATAGGTTTCATACAGAATAAATGCTCTTAAAATTACTTGACCTGTGTACCAAACCAACAGAGTAGGAATGGCCAGATGAGAGAGGTTATTTTAGCATTTAACAAGATTAGATTTGCTAGCAATCAAGTATGATCAAACAAACAAAAGAGCCTGAAAATAGATCTCAGGAATTGGAATTGATTTGGGGGACCAAAAATATGCTGTGTCTGAGGTTTAATCATTTTCAGTGCTGATCTATTATATGTGTGTGACTCTGGCCATTGTATTTGCAAGCTGTTTTTATAAAATGAATTCAAAACATGGTTGAGAATTTACTTTTTTAGCAGTTATTTCTTGAGTATTAAAATCCTCACATTTATGTTAATTCTAAATAATGATCAGAGGATCAGCTTTCTACATTTACTGAGTGATTAGCTGATAAGGTACAGTTAATTTAGAAATTACTGCTTTTTATTGACTTAGGCCAAGCATTTTCATTTGATACCCATTTCAGAATTGCTTTTAAGGTGCCAAAGTATTCTGTTTGCACTGTGAACTTTCTCATGTCATGTTGTAAGCATGTTTTAATTTGACTCACTGTATGTGTTTATTATGAATTGTTTTGGTTTAGTCACTGATAAAGTATGATACATTTTTCCACTGAGGATGTGACTCAAGTGGTAGAGCACCTGCCTAGCAAGCACAAGGCCATGAGTTCAAACACTAGTACCACACACACACACACACACACACACAAACACACACACATATAATTTTTAAATGTAAGGATATACAATTTCAGAAATCAACATTTGAGGTTTCGTTTTATAGAAATCCATGCATGGTGACAAATGTAACTATTTCTTAACCATTTTCCCTTTCTCTTTAGTGAACACAAATGGAAAGCTGTGGTAGGACTGGAAATTCATGCCCAAATTTCCTCTAATTCTAAACTCTTCTCGGGATCTCAAGTACGCTTTGCCGCACCTCCAAATTCTTTGGTTTCTTTTTTTGATGCATCTCTGCCTGGAACATTGCCGGTAAGATTTTTTTTTTTAATCTAATCTATTTTCATTAGAAAATGTTTATTTTATATTGAATATGGATAATGATTTCCTTGCCTTAATGTCTTGACACAATTCTTAGGAAATACTTGTTTAAGGAGTTTTGGATAAAGTGGGATAGACTAAATGTTTGCTAAAGACCCATCTCTGTAATTCTGTTTCTAAGTCTGAACATGTTCATACATCTATTCACTCATTTCAAAAACATTTTTGGATATCCATTAAACACCAGACAACCTCATAAAGATGAACAAAGATTCCTGCCTTTGAAGGAGTTCAAAGACTAGTAGAGGTGAGATATCTCATAAATAGAGTATAGTGTCATTACTCCTATGAAGGAAGTATGCAGAGGATAGTTTTAGAATCCAGAGGAGGGATACATAATTCAGTAAAGGAAGGGCTATTGTGAAAAATTGTAGGGGTGTATTATGTTAAGAAAAGGTTGCCGGAAGATGTGGTGTCTAAGCTAAGAAGCTAAGTAGGAGTTAGGCGGATAAGTGAAGGAGGCAGAGTGTAGACAAAGAAAGCAGAATATATCATGTGATGTTACAGTGTAAAATCAATAAAGATTGTGGTTGTTGAAAAGTAAGACACAGTCAGTAATGGGGAAAAGAGTCAATGACTGTGTGCAGCGAATTAACTATTGATTTAGCTACTCATTTTCACTTAACACCAAGGAATGAGCCCAAGTTAGCCATCAGCAAGACATTTAGCATATATTTTCATATAATGGGCTGAATTTTGAAGAAAAGAATGAAAGGGACAGTGTAAATGTTTGAGCTAATAAATGGCTCATGGTCTGTCTAGGACCTGTAGTATCAACTGGGTGAAGGTTGCCTGCCATCTTTGGGGAGAATAGGTATACATGGTGGTATTGGGATAGGGCAGGCAGGGATTGTCTTGTTGAACTCCATCCTCTCAGACATTTAAATAAAAGTGAAGGCTGAGTGAACTGAGCACTGGCAGTCTTGCAGGGGCGGGGATGGATTTACTTTTCTCAGAGTTACTGTCCAGAGTGGAGGGTTCTCAGCTGCTTCCTTACCCTGGGCAGCACCTCTGTCTTGAAACTTTTTCCTTATTTGTGATATTTGTAATGGAGGAGTCTCATTTCTATAATGAGGTCCAGGGATATCTTTGATTTGCTGTTAGGTCTCTCTAGAGAAAGACAGATGTAGAGGTTCCTCCCCTCATCTCCCAAACACATTTTTGTTAGCTTTGATTAAAGTTAATGTTTGTCAATTGGGAGAGATTTTTGTTTTGTTTGAGAAGAGGTAATTTTCAGTTACAGCCATGAGTGCTTTTTTCAGTGGAGACTCAGATATAGTAGAATTAAATAATATCTATTCAGACAAGTGAAAGAGAAGGCAATATGCACAATGCTTCTACCTTTTTCCCTCTGAGTTGAAGCATTTTTTTCCCCATGTTCATTATCAAGAGACTAGGAATGACATCTAGGTTTCTGCTAGGTTTTTGCAGATAAGAATGTGATATCTAGCTGGATACTTACAGTCCACATCTAGAAAAAGATCTATTTGCAGATAGCATCGCAACCAACTCTTCCGATAAACCTAAATATAGTCAAATATTAGAGACAGTTCAAAATAACTAACAGGCCAATATGTGTTGAAAGACTTCTTGTCATGTACCAAAGAAGAAGGTGCTTGTCTGGTGATAAGCATATCAGTAAAACAGAGTATTGGGACATTTGAATTTTGAAAGCTTAACTTACATTAGTGAAATGGCAGACAAAGGCTAGAAATCCTTTTGCATGATTAAGAATTTGTTTTTCTTCTTCAGAACCAACAACACTCATGATTTGAGTAGCCTATATGATTTTTCTTAGCAGAACTGATTTGCCTATTTTTCAGAAATGTTTCTGTCTTTAAAAGTCTTATTTTAATATGTGAGCAAAAATTATATCAAAACTTCCAGAATGAAACACTGTCACTGAAAACATTTCAAAATCCTCTGATTTGCCTATAAATACGCTTAAAATGTTCTAGAACACCTAAGTATTCTAGAGATGTGGTATAATGATGTTCTGATATCATAAAACTACATCTGGTAACTACATGTAACAAACCAAGAAAATGAATATTCCTGTTTCTGAGGATTGGAGTAGAATATTATGTTGTTTTAATCAGTTAAGCCAAGAAATATGTGTAATTCATATGATGCTTGGAGCTCACTCTGCCCTAGTCTATACTGTTTTCTTCTCTTGTGGCTTCCCCTCCCTTGAGCTCGCCAACTACTTTTCATGGGGCTGTCCTCCTCCCCCAGCCCTGACATGTTAGTTTCTTGTGCTCCTTTCCTTTGCTCTCTCTTCTTCTATTCTGCGTGTTCTCCTAATTGATCTTTCACCCTCAGATAGCTCCCATCTCTCTTGTAGGTAGCAAATCTGGGTTTCTAACGCCCTACTGTGTATTTCCATCCAGATGATTCATCAGCATCTTAAATTCAGCTCTTATAACATTAACCTATTATCTTTTCTCCCCAGACCGCCAGGTCCTGATTTAAAAACAAACTAAATAATAATCTGCTCAGAAGTGGATGCTGGGGAGGCAAACGTGTGTGTGTACACACATATATGTATATATAAAGGAAGGAACAAACATTTGGAAAAGGATTTATTCAACTGATGTTTTTTGAAAAAATTGGTTAGCTATTTAGAGAAAAATGTATTTAGAGCTCATCTTATACAATAAAACAATTCAAATATATATTTATAAGTTAAATGTAAAATTAAATCTAAAACAAAGTACAGGGTGCTACTTATTTGTCCTTGGGATGGGGAGAAACTTTGTAAGCACAAAAACAAGAGGATAAATTCATGAGGTAAAATGATGGAGATTTATCTACTTTATTTATCCAACAAATATTTGTTAACCCTCTAATTAATTCTTTTTAGTGTCTATCCTAGAAAAATAATAAAATGTGGGCAAAGGCTTATCTGCAGAAGTTTTATAGCAGGACTATTTGTAATACTGTCAAACTGGCAACAATTATAATTTCCCAGTGGTGGGTGAATGGTTGAATAAATGTGGTACCTGAGTATAGTAGAATATCTTGAAGTCATTAATAACGCTTATAAAAGATTTTAGTGTGATAGGAAAACACTAAAGATAAAAATTTCATTGAAATGAATAGAATTTGCACATAGATTACTTAATCTTCTTTTGCCTCAGTTTCTTACTGTAAAGTGGGAATAATGTATTTGACTCATGGATTTTTGTGAGACTTTAACGAGTCAAAGCCTTTAAAACAACTTAGTCACTACAAGTAATAAGTTCTCCTTAAGTCTTACCTATTATTATAACATGTAGTGACTGTGGCTTTCATCTTTACAAAGATTCCCCTAAGTTGTTATGTTGCCAAGTGACAGTAAAAGTAAGTGCTGCACATACCACTGTTGGTCAGTTTACCTGGATTTCATTAGTCAAGTGATGTAACCCACAAAACTAATCTGATGTTCCCATCACCTTAGAGATGCAAGGAGAACTAAGTGAGCAGTAAATGATAACATAGTAGACAAAATTATTTCTGGATTAATAATAATTACTTCATTTGCAAAAAAGAAGGCTGGTAAGTTTTTTTTTAATATGTCATTATATAGAGTTGTTTTTGTAAAAAAAATTAGTGACCAGTTGTTTTCCAGTTGCACTAATAAGATAGAAAAAGACAGCCAGAAGAATTTAGGTTACAGTGTAAAGTCTTTTTCTGTAGACCACCTTTGATCTATATGTAATTTCTGTTTTCCTCTTGGACTGTTAAAGAGGTACCCACAATTGTAGAAGCCCCAAGCTTTGAAATGTCTCAAGATTAATAAGCATTATTGACTACTTCAAAGTTTTGTCCCTTGATTTAATTTAAATACAAGATTATTACTTAAATTATTATAAGATATGTCTTTCTGTACACATTATATTCTCTCTCAACTAACATTTACTATAGATCTTCTCAGTGCTAAGCCCTTTGTACTTGCCCCAGTGAGACAGCTTTGAACTCAGTAGAAGATAGATATAGGTCTTGCCCTCAGGGGAAGACAAGAAAGCATCACTATTGCAGTACCTGTTAATAATCATATTAGTAATAGAAATATGGTGTGCTTGAGGAGCACACAGGAGGGGCAGTCAGAGATCTAAGGAGTTTGAGAAGATAAAGTCAATAAAATCTTCCTAAAAGTAAAACAAAATGTGCAGTGAACTGAACAGCAGAAGAAAAAAATAAATTTAGAGACTCAATCTGGGAAATTCAATGTCTGATTAATAGGAGTTAAAAGAAGAGGAAGCAGACTCGAGAAAACTGTCAAACAAATAACACAGAATTGAAGGACATGTATCTCCAAATGGAAAGGACTTGTCAACCACTAAGCACAAAATAAAAATAGGTCTCACATGCAGTCACATCATGAAATTTATGAACACCAAGGATAAAGATAAGATCCTAAAGCTTACAGAGAAGAAAATAAACGTTCAGGTCACATGCAGAGGATTGGGATCAGAAGGACATTAGACTTCTCAACAGTAGCTCTTAAAGCTGGAAGAAAATGGGATAGGGTCTTTAAAATTCCTAGTGAAGGAAGAAAATCAATCTAACCTGGAATTCTGTACCCTACACTGTCAATCAAGTGTGATAGCAGATTAATGATATTTTCAAACAGGCAGCCTCTCAAAAAAATTTGCCTTCCATTATGCAGCAGTCCCCTGGAGTAATGAAAGTTCTGGGTTGTCAGCTGTGCAACAGGTCCTGTGTCCTGGGAGAGGAGGAAAGATGGCTCCAGAATATAGGACTCTAGAAAAAAAACAAGGAAGTGAGAATAGCAGGTGTCTGATGTTTGTGTGGGGAAGGGATTTTATGTATAATCTGGAGTCTTTGACAAGAATGAGAAGTAGGTACATTAAAAAAAAGGGAGCAAATGAAAATAAAATGAAAGATGTATCAACTGCAGGAAAACAAAATGTTCCAGAAAGGAACTA